ACGACCGTGGCTACTACACTGGCGTGGGGTACACACCCACAGAACTTGGTCACTTATTCGGGGCGCGCGTGTGCCCAGCATCCTGCAATTGTGACATACAATACATGACACAGACAGACAGAGAGAGAGACAGAGAGCAGACAGAGAGAGAGACAGAGAGAGCGGAGTTGGTCACATTTTTGGGGCAAGTTCCTGAGATCGTCGTGTTTTTTGTTGGTCTTGCGCGCGCGAATGTCCACTTTACTTTTTTTTGCAAGGGATGTTGAAATTTGATTATGTAAGAACAAGAAAAAGTAGCTCGCGCGAGCTTATGTAACATAAATGTTGAAAAACCATTGGTTTTGTGGGAGTCGGACAGCGCGCGCGGGATGAAATTTGGACATTTTTTTTTGAAAAACCATTGGCTTTTTGATGTTTTTATGTTGAAATCGTTACGAAACCTAAGGTTCTGGAAGGATTTCGTCTTGCGCGCGCGAATGTCCACTTTACCTTATTTTTTGCAAGGGATTATTGAAATTTGATTATGTTAGAACAAGAAAAAGTAGCTCGCGCGAGCTCATGTAACATAAATGTTGAAAAACCATTGGTTTTGTGGGATTCGGACAGCGCGCGCGGAAGGACATTTTGACAATTTTTTCTTAAAAAACCATTGGGTTTTTGATGTTTTTATGTTAAAATCGCTACGAAACCTAAGGTTTTGGAAGGATTTCGTCTTGCGCGCACGAATGTCCACTTTACCTTATTTTTTGCAAGGGATTTGCAATTTGATTTGCAAGTCAATAAGAACAAGAATTTTCATTTTCTATTGTTTTTTGCAAGGGAAAACGGCGTCAACAAAAAACCGGATCCGGACCATCCTCTTTTCTGAGGCTTCCTCACGAAAATGATGAAAATGTGGCTGCGGCCTAGGCGGGCGGGGGGGCGCGCACCAGGGGTCCCAACAATAATTATTCTTAGAGAGAAATAATGTTCAACAACAACAACAACAACAACAACAACAACAACAACAACAACAACAACAACAATTACTAGCACGTGGGGACACTCCGTTCTCACCAGTGCCAGGGTTTTCATAGGAGGCGGGCAATACCCCCACTTTGTGGGGGGGCCGGTTCAAGCTCTACCAAATTTCCAAACGACTCTTCGCCACCACCCACACCCAGCTTCCCGCCCTATGACGTTCGGACACTTCACTTCGTGGCATGCGGACGACCGTGGCTACTATTCAGGGCCCCGCGGCCGACGACGACGGCGTGCGCGCGCGAAGAAAAAACGAATGTGTCCCGCATGGTATTATTTGACAGGGATGATGGCCCTGGCAGGTGCGCAACCGTTGTTGCAGAAGTTCGAAAAAGTTGCTCGCAAAAGCCCGTTTGACAGAAATGATTAAAAAGTGTTGGGTTTCCTACGAATCCGCAAGAGCGCGCGGGATGAAATTTTGACATTTTTTTTTGAAAAACCATTGGTTTTTTGATGTTGTTATGTTAAAATCGCTACGAAAACTAAGGTTTTGGAAGGATTTCGTCTTGCGCGCGCGAATGTCCACTTTACCTTATTTTTTGCAAGGGATTCTTGAAGTTTGGTTATGTTAGAACAAGAAATGTCCATTTTATAGTGTTTTTTGCAAGGGAAAACGGATTAACAAAACAACCGGATCGGACACCCGTTTTGCCTGAGACTTCCTCACGAAAATGATGAAAATGTAGCTGCGGCCTAGGCGGCGCAGGGGGGGCGTGCACCAGGGGGCCCAACAATAATTATTCTTTAGAAGTAATAATGTTCAACAACAACAACAACAACAACAACAACAACAACAATCATTTAAGCACGTGGGGACACTCCGTTCTCACCAGTGCCAGGGTTTTCATAGGAGGCGGGCAATACCCCCACTTTGTGGGGGGGCCGGTTCAAGCTCTACCAAATTTCCAAACGACTCTTCGCCACCACCCACACCCAGCTTCCCGCCCTATGACGTTCGGACACTTCACTTCGTGGCATGCGGACGACCGTGGCTACTATTCAGGGCCCCGCGGCCGACGACGACGGCGTGCGCGCGCGAAGAAAAAACGAATGTGTCCCGCATGGTATTATTTGACAGGGATGATGGCCCTGGCAGGTGCGCAACCGTTGTTGCAGAAGTTCGAAAAAGTTGCTCGCAAAAGCCCGTTTGACAGAAATGTTTAAAAAGTGTTGGGTTTCCTACGAATCCGCAAGAGCGCGCGGGATGAATTTTGACATTTTTTTGTTGAAAAACCATTGGTTTTTTGATGTTTTTATGTTAAAATCGCTACGAAACTAAGGTTTTGGAAGGATTTCGTCTTGCGCGCGCGAATGTCCACTTTACCTTATTTTTTGCAAGGGATTCTTGAAGTTTGGTTATGTTAGAACAAGAAATGTCCACTTTAGCTTATTTTTTGCAAGGGAAAACCGACAACAAAACAACCGGATCCGGACACCCACGTTTTGCCTGAGACTTCCTCACGAAAATGATGAAAATGTGGCTGCGGCCTAGGCGCGGCGAGGGGGCCGCGCACCAGGGGCCCCAACAATAATTATTCTTTAGAATAAATAATGTTCAACAACAACAACAAGAACAACAGCAATAACAGCAACAACAACAACAACAAGAACAACAACAACAACAACAACAACAACAACAACAACAACAACCACCACAACAACAACAACAACAACAACAACAACAACAACAACAACAACAACAACAACAACAACAACAACCGCAACCACAACAACCGCAACCACAACAATAACGACGAAGACGACGCCGACGACGGCGACGAGGACGACGACGACGCCGACGACGGCGACGACGACGACGACGACGACGGCGACGACGACGACGGCGACGACGACGACGGCGACGACGACGACCACTACGACGACGACGATCACGACGACAGCTGGGATGTGCCGCTCTCCCTACTCCAGATGTCGTAATAAAAGGGAGGGGGTCTGGACCCTCCAAGACAAGTCATTTCAGACCCCCCCCCGGGGGAGAACCCTCCAAAACATCGTCCCCAGACCCCCCCAGGCCCTCCAAGGTAGCCTGGAAGAGACCCCCCCCCGAAATGAGACCCCCTCCCTTTTATTACGAAATCTGGAGTATTCATCTTGGCTGTGGTGAACGGCTGCTCGCTCCGGAACCTCCCCATGGCCCTTTTGCAGGAGCTCCTCCGCCGCCGGCGAGGGCAGTCGTGACTCGCGCTCGCCTGGTCACCGCCCGTCCACTGGCACTCGGCAAGGACCACCAAGAGCGCTTGCATCTCCATGGCCCCCGTAGCGTCCACTGGGGGGAGCGAGGTCTGAGACGGCGAACTGGCAGGGGCGTTCCTCTGCCAGCCGGCGATGCACCTTCGGACTCTGCAACCACGACGGCTTTCTCCAGGATCTAGGCGGCCCTCATGCACTGCGTCTGCCGCACCAGGCTGTCGCCTGGGCGCTTCGCCACGCACTTGCAACCACCTGGCAAAGCCATGACCGTCGAGTCCAGGGTCGTAGCCGACGCGGACTGGATCCCGAGGGGACGAGGAGGAGGCATGAGGAGCACGTGGGTGAAAGCACCCAGCCGACACGGCCCTTGCAACAACGACAGAACAGTGGCAAGCACCACGGTGCACGCCCCTGGCGTGCGCCCCCCGAAGGAGGGAGCCCTCGCTCCAACCTGAAAGGACGGACGAAGGCAGAATCGAGACAAAATCGGACCCATATCCATCGGACATCTCTGAGAATCGGCGCGCTTGGAAGATCGGCCGTTCTGGCACGCTCTGGAACGGACTTGCCTCGACCCTGTGCCCGTCCGAGAAAGGACGAAGGCAGAATCGAGACAACATCGGACACATATCGATCGGAAATCTCTGAGAAGCGGCGCGCTTGGAAGGTCGGCCGCTCTGGCACGCTCTGGAACGGACTCTGCCTCGACCCGGTGCCCGTCCGAAGAAAGGACGAAGCCCAGCCGAGACCGGAGCGAGAGCTACTGCGGAGGGGCCACGCTCGCGAGCAAGCACCTGCGCGCCGTTTCTTCGCGGCGAGCGAGGGGGGGAAAGTGAGAATCCTTCTCCTCCTCCTTCTCCTCCTCCTCCTCCCCGTCCTCGCTCTTCTCCTCCTCCTCCTCCTCCTCCTCCTCCTTCTCCTCCTCCTCCCCGTCCTCGTTCTTCTCCTCCTCCTCCTCCTCCTCCTCCTTCGCCTCCTCCCTCAGGTGTCTAGATGCCCGAGCTCGGTCTGCTGCCAGAGCTGGGACGGGCCCTCTCAGAAGCCCCGGAAGTCCCCCGCGCCTTCTGAGGAGTTGTCTGAGCATTCCCCGAAGACAGACAGAAACCTCTCAGAAGGCGCGAGGGCTTCTTGGAACTCCCGCCGCCTTCTGGGAAGGCCTTCTCCTCCTCATTTCCCCCCCTCGCTCGCCGCCGACCGACCACCAAGTGAACGAGGGCGCACACATCTCCGCACACGACGTGGGCCGCCGTGTCGGCCGAGGCAGGACAAGCACGGAAGGGGCACAGGGGGATGGGTGGGGGGGCGGGAGCGCGGAAGAGAGGTCGAGCGCGCGAGGAGGGGGAAAAAGGAGAGGGAGGAGGACGACGAAAAGGGAGGGGAAGCAGAAGAGGAGTGTGGAGAGGCGGTGGAGGGGAAGAGGAAGGTGGTAGGGGGATGGGGGCAAAGGGGAACGATGGAGAGGGGGGGGGGAGAGAGAGAGAGAGAGAGCAGGGCAGGAGGGGAATGGCGGAGGGGGAGGCGGGAGGGGGACGGGGATGAGGGGAGGGCTGAAAGAGTGAAGGGGGAGGGGAAGGGGGAGGAGAGATGAGAAAGAGAGCGAGAGAGAGAGCGTGAAGGAGAGAGAGAGGGACAAAGAGAGATATAGAGAGAGAGAGAGAACAACACAGCGAAAGAGAAAGGGAAAGAGCAAGAGAAAGGGGAAGGTGAAGGTAAAGAGAGAGACAGAAAGAGTCAGAGAGTTATCCCAAGCTTGTCCCAACAGCCCGAACCGATGATGTATGTCCACAGCATGGCCATGATCAGCATGCACACGGTCGAAGTAAGATACTCTGTGAAATTGTGCGGGGTGATGTCCCCTCGCCCCATCCTTCCTTGAAGGCTTGCTAGGCGCGCCCATACGCCATGAGCTGGTTTCGAATTATCACGAAGGCTCCACGGTGTGATGGCGTTCACCGTCAATGCAGGGTTCTGCCTCACATCTGACCTGGACCTGGCTAGTGAAGCACATGGCGACCATATTCGCTGGCTGATGACCCGCTAGCGAAGATCCTAAGCCATAGCGAGGCCGATCGTGGACCATCGTGGATCATGAGTGCAGCACAAGCGGGTCAAAATCAAGGGTGGGTCATTGGACTGGGTCACTGGTGGACTGTAGGCAGGTCATCGCCAACACTGAGTTACAAACATTACCGAACCACTGGCAAATGGTACGCATGAGTGGTCCACTAATGAGCTGCGAACAGGGCTAATAGGGGGGTTAGCTGGAGGTCGTTAGTGGACCCTGAGTGCGCATATCAAGAAAAATCCTGCATGATACCTGATACCCGAAGCCGCCCTCCAGAAGGATCCTGAACAAAGGAAATTCCTGAATGCCCCTGCATGTTGGCTGTCTGAATCTGGCACAGCGACGTGCCATCGAAGCTGGTCACAGGACCAGACAGCGCACCGCACAACACAATACTGGCCTACCGAGTCCAACCTCGCGGCCAAGGATATGGCACCGCACGGCGACGCGTAGCAAGCTTCTGGCTGAACCTCCGCTACGTCACCGTCACCCTGTTCCCCCCTCCTCCTACGCCTACGGCATGAGAAATAGCATTGCGCCGCTCGCTGTGAAAAGAAAGGGGCCCTGAACTGCCGGTGTTGTGTCCGCGGCATCGCGACTCTGCATCCCGTTGCAAAGGTCGAAAGACCAGACTACTTTCGTGCGCACATGCCTCTCTCTGTATCTCTCTTTTTCTCTCTCTCTCTCTCTCTCTTTCTCTCTCTCTCTCTCTCTCACTCTCTTTTGTCCCTCTCTCTCTCCATATATATAGACACATGTAGATGCATATCCGGAGCGACTAGTAGTCGGAGCGGGCAGCGGAATGCCAGATGCACTACAACAACGGGCGAGAATGAACTCGCCCGCTTCCAAGCTGCGCGGAAGGCTAGCCACGCCTTCCTCACCTTGCGCATAGCATCATTTATCACCCCATATCTGGATTGAAATGGGGTCTCGGGGGGTCTTTGGTGAGGCTCGCCGGCACTACATGCTCAAGATCAACATTCAGAAACTCTGGAGGGCGAGCGGCACCTGGCCAAAAAATTGGCCAGGATGTGTATCAATATGTATAGATGCATAGTCATAGACATGTCACATACATATACATGTAATAGACATACACAGTCACATGTACATGTATATGCATATGGATGTGCATATGCAATGTATATATTGCATGTACATATCAGTAAGCATATGTGTATAAATATGTGTACCTACATACATATACGAATGCATATGAATTATGTATATATATATGCAAATATTATTAAACGTATGCATGCCCCCTGTGCACATACATAAACCCATGCATCAACATACACAAATACACATACCTATACATTTACACATATGCGAAACAACAGTTACAGAAATATATACATATACAAATGCACAAACACATGCATATACATATTCGATGGTGAACACATAAAAAATACATATAACCATAATATGACTATAGACAAACATATACAGATGCATACATACGCGTACAAGTATATATATATATATATACACACACGATCGGCACCCACGAGGCCACGATCCGTGGCAAAACCAAAACATCCGCGCCCCCGACGCTCCCAGGCAATCCCCAGCGCTCCCAGACGCTCCAGGAGCGCCCACGCGTTCCCGAGCGGCCCCAAGCGCTCCCAGACGCCCCCAGGCGTTCCCAAACGTTCCAGGAACGCCCAAACGCTCAGGCAGCGCCAAGCGCTCCCCAGGCGACCCCGGACGCCCGAGATGTTCCCAAACCCTTCCAGACGCTCCAGGAGCGCCCAAGCGCTCCTCGGTGGCTCCAGGCGCTTCTCAGGCGGCCCAATGCGCTTGCAGACGTTCCCAAGAGTCCTCTGAATTCCAGGCACCCACAGGTGTTCCCAGACGCTCGAGGATCGCCCAAACACTCCCAAAAAGCTCCAAGTTTTCCCCAGGCGGCCCCAAGCGCTCCCAGACGCTCCCAGACGCCTCCACACGCTCGCAAGCGCTCCGAGGCGCTCCTAGACGCTCCAGAAGCGCTCCCAAGCGCTCTAGACTCTCCGGACGCTCCCAGGCGCCCCAAAGCGCTCCCGGACGCCCCAGGAGCGCCCAAGCACCCCCAAGCGCCCCCCAGCCGCTCCCCAAGCGTCCCACACGGTCCCAGACGTCCCCAGGCGCTCCCAAACGATACAAGAAGCCCCAGAAGGCCCCAGGAAACCCTAGGAGGCCCTAGCCCCAGGAGGCCATAGGAGGCCCCAGAGGAAGCTCCAGAAAGCCTCGGGGGAGCCACAGTAGCCCCAAAGAAGCCACAGAAAACACTCAGTAAGCCCCAGTCGACGCGGCCTGACAGACCCCGAGAAAGCAGTTCAAGGTTTTTTTTCTCCCACACCCTCCCCCCGCGCGGTGGTTGCGTGGCGAGACGCCCGCATACGCGGCGCGGTTGCGGCGCATCCACTGAATCATCCGCGCGCACGTCCACTCGCGCAACGAGACGCCACCACTATCGCGGAACTGACTACCTACCAGACCACCCCAACCCAACCCGAAGACCCGAACTTCGGGTTGGGGGGGGTAAGGGGTCCGCACGTGTTTTTGTCGATGCTTCCCGACCCCCCCCCCCTGGAAATCGAGGGTAAGTTTAGGCCTTCGGGTTGGGCTGGGGTGGCTTGGTGGGCGGTGAGGATCGAGGCCACGGCGCGGCACCTTCGCTCCGCCGCTGCGAGGCGCGAGCCCTCTCTCCCGCGCGCTCGAGCGCTGCCAGCTCGCGACGGGGGCAGCTGCGCAGGCGCCGCAGCGCCGACCCCCCGGCGCGTGAGTCCTGCGCCCCGAGAACCACCGCCGCTGCGGCGCGCGGGTCCCCTCCCGCGGGCGCGAGCGAGGCCCACTCGCGCGAAGAGGCGGCTTCGCCCCGCGTGCCGACCACCCACGCGTGGAGCGTGCGCCGGGGCCGCTGGCGACGCGGCGCGCGAGCCCGCGCTCCCGCGCGCTCCCGCGCGCTGCTCCGTCGCGCGAGGGGTCCGCCTCGGCGCCGCGCGCCGAAACCAGGCGCGAGAGCCTGCGCTCCGAGCTCTCGCCGCTGCCGCGCGCGAGGCCGGTCCTGCGCGCGCGAGCGCTGCACGGTCGCGCGAGGAGGCTGCTCGGCGCCGCACGGCGACCCCCGCGCGAAAATCGTGCGCTCGCTCGCCATCGTCGCGCAGCAATACGTCCGCGGGGAAGTGCTGCGCACGTCATCTGACCCTTTTATTAAAATGGCGGCGTGGGGGCGGAGGCGACAAGGGAGCTCACTCTCGGGCGCAGCCGAAGCAGGGTGGGGGGGCTGGGGCACGAGCATCGCGAGCGCGAACCAACGCATCCCACCCCCAACAATCCAGTTGGGGGGTTGGGAGGCGTGCGCGCGTTCCTTTCAGACGCTCTCAATCCCTCTCTCTGGACCGAACGCCGGTCCTGACAATCGTCAGGCAACGAGCGACTGATGGCCGGAGCGTTCAGCGGAGTGCCAGATGCCGTAACTCCGTGAGCGAGAGCTAGCTCGCCCACCTCCAAGCGGTGCGGAAGGCGGATTACGCTTTCCTCCTCTGGTGTTTAGCGCAGAAAGAACGGCTCCCTCTCTGGAGCGATCCCCACTAAATTCTCAGGAAGGGGCCCCCACAAGCTTGGATCTAATCTTTGGAACTTCCCGAAGGTGAGCGGCGCCTGGTCAAAAAACTGCGCCGGCAAAAGATTGTATGCAAAATTGGCCTGCCCAGGGATCCAACCACATGCAGTTGTAAAGACCGCCGTTGCGAGCATCGCCCTCGGTAGATCTCCTCATGGGGCCACGAAGCGCGTGAGGGCTTTGCCGGAATGCAGCAGGGCCGCCCTGCGGGCGCTGCCACTGGGGCCGTCGAGCATCGCGAGGAAAAGGAAATCATGGAGGGGGGGCCAGCAGCAGGGGCCCCCGTGGCCTTCTGTAGAACACCGCATGGGGCCACGAAGCGTGTGAGGGGTGCACCGACATGGAAGGTGGAACCGTATGCGGGCGTTGCCGCTGGGGCCTTAGATGGAGCTCCCCATGGGGCCACGAAACGTGTGATGGGTTCACCGAGATGGGGGTGAAACTGCATGCGGGCGCTGCCACTGAGGCCTTCGGTGGAGCTCCCTACATAGCCGCGAAACGTGTGAACGGCGTGTTGAAATGGAAGTGGAACCGCATGCGGGCGCTGCCGCTGGGACTTTGGGTGGAGTTGGTTCACCATGGGCCCACGAACCGCGTGAAAGGTTCGCCCAAATTGAAGGCGGCACCGCATGCAGGCACTGCCACTGGCGGCTGAGGTAGAGCTCCCCGTGGGGCCACGAAACGTGTGAGGGGTGTGCCGAAATGGGGGAACCGCATGCGGGTGCTGCCACCGGGGCCTTCGATGGAGCTCCCTATGGGGCAACGGAACGTGTGAGGGGTTCGCCGAGATGGAGAGTGGAACTGGGGCCAAGAAACGTATGAGGGCGCGCCGACGTAAGAAGTGGAACCACATGCGGGCGCTGCCTCATGGAAGGTGGAACTGCACGCGGGCGCTGCAACTATGGCATTCGGTGGAGCTCCCTATGGGACCACGAAACGTGCGCGGGGCGCAGCGAAATGGGAGTGGAACCGCATGCGGGCGCTGCCACTGGAGCCTTTGGAAGAGCTCCCTATGGGGGCACGAAACGTGCAAGGTGTGCGCCGAAGTAGTACGCAGAGGGTACAGGCGGGGATGGGATCCGGGATGGGCTGCTGAAGCGTGAGTCCTGCATGAATCGCGAGGAAGTCTCGAGCGATTGCGCGATTCCCAAATAAATCGTGAGAAAGGCCGAAGCGAGAGCGTAATCCCACCAGCCCTTTAGGGCGTAGGTGGTCTAGGGAGTTTCCTCTGCCAACCCCCTTCTTCCCCTTCGGGGAGGGGTTTACCCCTCCCCTTACCCCTCCCCACTGACCTGGACGGGGCCGGTCGCGAGGTGTCAGAGCGTCCAAGATGGCCCAAGACAGCTCCAAGAGCGAACAGGCGAGAAAACACAAAACATTGATTTACCTAGGTTTTGGAAGGATTTTGGCATCTTGGGGGGGCCCAAGAGGCGACTCGAGGCACTCTGGAGGGGCGGGGCTAATAAGCAACCCCCCCTTCTTTGATAGATCTCCTCCAAGATGGCCCAAAGAGCGCCCCGAAGGCTCCCAAGAGCGCCCCAAGAGCGCCTCAAGAGGGCCCCAAGAGACCCCAAGAGGCCCCCAAGAAGCCTCCAAGACGTTGCCAAGAGACCCCCAAGAGGCCCCAAGAGAGTCCAAGATGACCCAAGACGGCTCCAAGAGCGAAAAGGCGAGAAAGCAACAAACATTGATTTTACCTAGGTTTTGGAAGGATTTTGGCCTCTTGGGGCGCCCAAGAGGCGACTCGAGGCACTCTAGAGGGGCAGCGCTAATTGGGGAACCCCCCTTCTTTGATAGATCTCCTCCAAGATGGCCCCAAGAGCGCCTCGAAGGCTCCCAAGAGCGCCCCAAGAGCGCCCCAAGAGAGCCCCAAGAGGCCCCAAAAGGCCCCCATGAGGCCTCCAAGAGGCCCCCAAGAGACCCCCAAGAGGCCACAAGAGGCTCCCAAGGCGGGTCCAAGAGCGAAAAGGCGAGAAAACAAAAAACATTGATTTTACTTAGGTTTTGGAAGGATTTTGGCCTCTTGGGGGGGCCCAAGAGGCGACTCGAGGCACTCTAGAGGGGCAGCGCTAATTGGGGACCCCCCTTCTTTGATAGATCTCCTCCAAGATGGCCCCAAGAGCGCCTCGAAGGCTCCCAAGAGCGCCCCAAGAGCGCCCCAAGAGGGCCCCAAGAGGCCCCAAGAGGCCCCCAAGAGGCCTCCAAGAGGCCCCCAAGAGACCCCCAAGAGGCCACAAGAGGCTCCCCGAGATACGCAAGAGGCCCCCGGGACCGCCAAGAGGCCCCAAGGACGGCCCAAGAGGCCCCCAAGCTCGCAATTGTCCTCCTCCTCATCCTCCTCCTCTTTTTCTTCCTCCTCCCTCCTCCCCCTCCCCCTCCTCCTCCTCCTCCTCCTCCTCCTGCTCCTTCTCCTTTTCCTCCTTCTCGTCCTCCTCGTCCTCGCAGTCCTCCATCTCCTCCTCCTTCTATTCCTCCTCCTCCTCCTCCTCCTCCTCCTCCTGCTCCTCCTCCTGCTCCTCCTCTTCCTCCTCCTACTCCGACGACCACGGCTCCTCCTACATCCTCCCCCTCTTGGGGTATATGGCGGCTCACCCCGCCCTTTGTTCTTCAGCATGCTCCCCCGCTTCCCTCATAACCTCCACTCCCCTGGGACTCATTTCTGGACGGGCTGGTGGGGATACGCGAAGCGTCTAGAATTCCTCAGTGTCAAGGGCACAGCGTTTGAATAAATTGTGATGAAGTCCCACAAGAGAGCGCAATTCCTGCATAAAATATGAGGAAGTCCTGCGCGAGAGCGCGATGTTGGAATACATTGTGAGGAAGCATCAGGCAGGAGCCGCTGTTGCTGTAAACTGGACGCCAAAGACATAATTTAAGCACGAAGACTTCCCCTTATGAAAAAAACAGACCGCGAGCCCCGGGCACTTTAAATGAAAAACATGAAATGTGCATTGGCGAGGGTGGATCAACATTATTCTTCAATAGTGAGAGTTCCAGCAGTAGTAGCAGCAGCAGCAACAAGAACAACAACAGCAACAGCAACAGGATGATCAGCAACAACAACAACAACAACAATCATTTAAGACTGTTCGCTCTTATCTGCTCGAGTGTCCGTTAACGCGTATTCCCCAAACCCTCGATACCCGCCTTCTTCGTTTTCGATCGTACCCCTTTTGGGGGGTATACCTTTCTTCCCTGCAGGCCGGGCCCCGCAGGACTTCCTCACAGTTCACTCACAGACGAGGCTCCCGTCGGATACTTCCTCCATATTCAGGCCTGAGCAGCCCAAAAGCAACGACAGTTGCAAGATGCCGATGACCCGCCTCGGATTCGAACATGAAGTGCGGGCCCCCAGGGAGGGAGCTCCCGCCTGAGACTTCCTCACAGTTCACTCACAGACGAGGCTCTCGCCTGATATTTCTTCCATATTCAAGCCTGAGGAGCCCAAAAGCAACGACAATTACGGGATGCCGATGACCCGCCTCGGATTCGAACATGAAGTGCGGTCCCCTTAGGGATGGGGCTCCCGCATGAGACTTCCTCGCAATTCACTCACAGACGAGGCTCCCGTCGGATACTTCCTCCATGTTCAGGCCTGAGGAGCCCAAAAGTAATGATAGTTACAGGATACCGATGACCCGCCTCGGATTCGAACATGAGGACCCCATAAGGAGGAGGCTCCCACCTGAGACTCCCTCGCAATTCACTCACAGACGAGGCCCCCGCCTGAGACATCCTCCATTGTCATGCCAGGGGGTGAGTGAGTGAATCATGATGGTGAGTGAGTGAGTGAGTGAGTGAGTGAGTGAGTGATGATGATTATGGTGACGATGAGAAGTGAGTGTGTGAGTGTGTGATTGAGTGAGAGTGAATGTACGTGAGTGTGTGATTGATGAAGATGATGATGACGATGATGATGATGATGCTGATGATGATGATGACGATGATGATGACGATGATGCTGATGATGATGGTGATGATGGTGATGATGGTGATGATGGTGATGATGATGAGTGAGTGAAGGAGTGAGTGAGGGTGAGTGATGACGAGGGAGAGAGGGTGTGTGACAGGACTGCGCAGGGTGTCCAGAGAAAACACGAACCCCACTTAGGATGTGGGCAATAAGAAAACTATCCTCTTCCTTCTACTGTTTGCTCACTGTTCAAGCCGAATGTGAAACAGACCAGCAGCACGTAAAACTGAGAGCGGCTGCGCACGAGCGATTCGGGAGAGAGAAGATGGTACGAAGGAGGAGGAGGAGGAGGACGAGGAGAAGCAGCAGGGGGAGGGGCACAAGGAGGACGAGGAGGAGGAGGAGGACAAGGAAGAAGAGGCGAAGGGGGAAGAGAAACGGCAGCGTTCGGAGAACTCCATTGCCGTCATTGCCCCACTGCCTCTCTGGGAAGAGGAGAAGGAGAAGGAGGAGGAGGACGAGGAGGAGGAGGAGGAGGAGGAGGAGGGAGGAGGAGGGGGAGAAAAGCGGCAGCATTCGGAAAACTCCATTGCCGTCATTGTCTCATTGCCTCAGGGGGATGAGGAGGAGGAGGAGGAGGAGGCGGAGGAGGAGGAGGAGGAGGGGGAAGAGAAGCGGCAGCATTCGGAAAACTCCATTGCCGTCATTGCCTCATTGCCTCAGGGGGAAAAGGAGGAGGGGGAGGAGGAGGAGGAGGAGGAGGAGGAGGAGGAGGAGGAGGAGGAGGAGGGGGAGGAGAAAGAGGAGAACCAAACAAAGATACATCAAAAAGGAGGAGGAGGACGACGACGAGGAGGAGAAGGGAGGAGAAGGCCAGTGTTCCGAGAAATCGACGTCGTGCCTCCCCCCGTCCAGGTGCGCCCCTCTCAGCACCTCGCTCGGCAGCTCTCTCTGCCTCCCCCGCGTGCCGCGCGGCGCTCCCGCGCCCCTCCGTAGCCGATGCTCGTGAAGGTCATGACGGCCCAGTACAGCGCCATCAGGTATCCGCCACCGTGCCGCTGGGCACGGATCGGGGAGACGCAAGACTCGGGCTCGGGGGACTACCCCGGGTTTCTGAATCAGCGGGGGGGGTGGGGGGGCCCCTGACGGGGGTCAGCCTCGCCTCGTCGTCGCGCCGCGACGGGGGTCGGAGCTCGGAGCAGGGTTGGCCTGACGGGACCATCAAGAGAATAACGAGCCCCAGTTTGAAACTTGACGCGGGCTCCCGCTGCAAACATCCCACGAAAACTGGACTGTCAGATCCAAGACGCGCTTGCCAAAAAGCGTCGGCAAACCCTAATTCCGGCGTGCTCAAGTCCTACGTTTCCCCAGACGGAGTGGGCGTGTCCTCAAGTCCTGGGCCCCATCCTCTAAGCCTCAACCCTCACTCCTGGGAAGTTTTTTAGAAGGCCCAGACCCATCGCTCTCAAATCTTCTTGGGATTGGCGTGACTCTGTCGTGCCCAAGAATGGGGAAGCAAAAAGTGGCACCAGCATAAAAAAAACACCGAGGATTTCTGTTTCTGCGATTCTCCGTTCCCCTAAGGGAGGCCCGGAACCACAACCCAGGCACGGTGGCGGGATGGGCCGAAGGCCACTGGATCCGCCGCCCCCTGTCGATTCATCGCAGGGGTGCCTGGCGTGCTGGATCTGTTCGGTTTTGGTTTTGGTTCTTTTTCCAAAAGAAATCTTCCAGTGGGTTTCGGCCCGTCCCGACGGCCGCCCCCCAAGACCCGCAAGACGCACACGCCATCGCCCAATCCCAATTCTTCCTCCAAGACGGCCCAACATGGCCTCCAGGATGGTCACGTTGGCCCAAGATGGCCTCCAAGATGGTCCAAGATGGCCTCCAAGTCCACCCAAGATGGTCCAGGACGGCCTCCGAGACGGCCCAAGAGGGTCCAAGATACCTCCAAGTTCGCCCAAGAAGCCTCCAAGACGGCCAAAGACGGCCCAAGAGGCCTCCAAGAGGTTCTCCAGAAGGGCCCTAAGAGGCCAAAATCGTCTACTTTACGATGGTTTTGGAAGGATTTTGGTTTGTTGTCTTTTCGGTTTCCCGACGCTCCAAGACAGCCCAGGAGGCCTCCAAGAGCGCCCCAAGACGGCCCAAGAGGCCTCCAAGAGCGCCCCAAGACGGCCCCAAGACGGACCCAAGACGGCCGCAAGACGGCCCAAACACGGCCCAAGAGGCTTCCAAGACGCCCAAGATGGCCTCCAAGACGGCCCCGAGGCGCTCGGCCTTCCGACGGCCTGAGACGGCCCAAGCGGCCCCAAAGATGGCCGAAAGATCGCCCAAGAGGCCTCCAAGACGGCCAAGATGACCTTCAAGATGCCCACGCGTTCCCCGAAGGCTTTCCGAACCGATGCGGGGAACACATGGTCCGATGGCTTGGCAGGCCTGGCCTCAACGTTCGGCCACACAGGCGCTTCCAAAAAGGCAGGGGGCGGCGGTGGTTCGCCGTAGGCGTCTTCGATCCGCCGCCCCCTGTCGATTCATCGCAGGGGTGCCTGCCGTGCTTGACCCTCTCGGTTTTGGTTTTGGTTCTTTTTCCAAAAGAACTCCCCCTGGCGCTTCGGCCCGTCCCGCCGGGGTCCCGGGAGGCTCTTCCAGGAGCGCAAACTTCACGAAAAATCCTCCCTGAAACGGCCGTTTCGCTCGGGGCGTCCTCAAAAAATCGCGAAGATGGCCCAAGATGGCCTCCAAGTCCGCCCAAGATGGGCGGCGGTGGCTCGCCGTAGGCGTCTTCGATATGTGGCTGGGCAGAGGCGCCTCGCCGTCGGGGTTCTCCTCCCTCTGCACCACGAGCCTCACCGCGCCCGGTGCCCGCGGGGCGCCGCGGCAGGCGCCGGCGGAGCAGCGGCGGGGCACCGCCGGGGGAGGGCGAGGAGCGGGAGCAGTGCAGGGCAGTGTTTAATTCATTGTTTATATATATAACCAAAAATGACTAATGTATGAATGAATTTCTGCATGAACTCATCGTTGTTTTTAGTACTGAATCCCTGCATTTTTGATGCATGATCCGCACGCGGAGCATGCATTAAAAACGGCACTGTGTGGGGGGAACGCAGAATGACACAGGCATAAAAAGTCGGAGGTCCGCGCGGATTTCTCGGATCGGCGCTGGACCACCACCACCCCTGGCGCGCGGAGCGCGCCAGGGGCGGCACTGGAGGCGCCGCCAGGGGGCTCCAGCGCGGAGCCGAGAAATCCGCGCGGACCTCCGAGTTTTTATGTTTATGTCATTCTTCGTCTCCCTACAGTAGGAGGGGGGAGGGGGAGAGGGAGGGTGAGGAGGAGGAGAAGGAGGAGGAGGAGGAGGTGGCCAGGAGTGGCGAGTCCGACAAAAGCTCGCACCGCGGTCGTGCAGTGGTGCAGTTCGCCATCGAGCAGTCCGGCCGCCTCGGCCTCCTGGCGCGCCAGGCGTTGACCGCGCTGCACCGGTGCTGGTACAGGCCGGGCGCAAGCTTTGCGTCTTCGAGCTCTGCGGGCCGACATCGAGGCCGCCGTGGTCCGGTGCGGTGCCCAGACTGCGACTGGTGGCGCTGGGGGCCAGCGCCCTGCCGGCCCTGGGGTGGCTCGATGGCGTGCGCGGCCAGGCGCAGAGGCAGGCAGGCGACGGCGAGTGAGCAGGCCAGTATGGTAGTTTGTTTTGGTGGAGCATTGGTGCGCTACTGGTGCGAGGAGGAGGAGGAGGAGGAGGAGGAGGAGGAGGGGAGGAGGGAGGAGGAGGAGGAGGAGGAGAGGAGGAGGAGGAGGAGGCGGAGGAGGAGGAGGAGGAGGAGGAGGAGGAGGAGGAGGGAGGAGGAGGAGGAGGAGGAGGAGGAGGAGGAGGAGGAGGAGGGAGGAGGAGGAGGAGGAGGAGGAGAGGAGGAGGAGGAGGAGGAGGAGGAGGAGGAGGAGGAGCGGGGGGCAAGCTAGGTGCGTTCGCGTCATATCTGACGTCCTACCCCTCCCTCCCATGCCGTACCATGTACCATGGCGTAGACCTCCTCCTAATTCGCACTATCGGATGTATTAGCATGGCATAGCATTACATGGCATAGCATGGTGTCGAAGATCAACGCGTAGCATGACATAGCATGGCGTGGCGACGCCCAAGGTGGGGGCTGGGAGGGGCGGGGCTTCTGCGGCCCAAAAAAACAACGAATCGGCACCGAAAGTGGAATCACTTCCGATGGTTTATTCGGGAGGCCATTTTCTAGATTTCGGAGCCTATTTGGAAGGACCGAACAAAATGCCGGGGCATGGCACTCAAAATAATGACGCCAACCCTGCAACGGGAGAACGATTCGGAACGAGCGGAAGCGCGGAAATGAGGCCAGCGCTGCAGCGGGAGCACGATTCGGAACGAGCGCTAGCCCGAAAATGAGGCCAGCGCTTCAGCGAGAGCAGCATTCTGAAAAACAAAAACCAACAACAATAAAACAAAAAATGAAAACGAAAACCCAACTCCCTGGAATCCTGCGTGTAAAAAACGATACGCGGAGGGGGTCGGACACTCCCCGGATGCCACAAGGGGAGATAGGAGAGCAGTATTCATAGTGTGTGTGATTGCACAGTCAACCCGCTATAGTAAGGATGTGCGATAAGGATGCAAGGGCCTTGGACGCCCATGTCGAGGCGTCTCGAGCGGGGCGCGGCCAACGAAAGTGGCCAGGGCTGGACCGAGGAGGCAAGGATGCAAGGGTACTCCAGATTTCGTAACAAAAGGGAGGGGGTCTGGACCCTCCAAGACAAGCCATTTCAGACCTCCCCCGTGGGAGAACCCTCCAAAACATCGTCCCCAGACCCCCCCAGGCCCTCCAAGATAGCCTGGAAGAGACCCCCCCCCCGAAATGAGACCCCCCTCCCTTTATTACGAAATCTGGAGTACCCTTGGGAAGGTTGCCCATCCTTACTATGCGGCTTGACTGTAGAGGCGAAGGGGGCAAGGGGGGCAGGGGGGGAGGCCAGGGGGGGGGGCACTCCTCCTCTTCGGCAGCGATTCGCCACGTTTGTGCCCTCCCCGACCGCGTGCACCGAGGTTTTCAAGAGGCTTCAAGCCGGGGGTGCGGGTGCGGTCGAGCCCTTCCCTGGCCTCTGGTCGACGCGGGCGTGGGGGACGGGAGAGGTATGAGGACACCAGAAGATTCACGTGCACCGAGCCTTGGGCCAGGATTGCCCTGGCCAAGTTCGGTGTGGGGGAACAGCAGGAAAGAGTGGAAGAGGACTAAGAGCTGGAGGAAAAGGAGGAACGGGACGAGAAGGTCGAGGAGGGGGGTGCAATGCGGAGGAGTCGCTGGAGACTGCCGCGCAGGAGGAAGAGGAGACGGAGGAGGAGGAGGAGCAGCAGCAGCAGCAGCAGCAGCAGAGCGAAGTGAAAGGGGGAAAGATGGGCGAACGGAACACTACAACTACACCTGGTCTTAGGTTTGTTATGATTTCGAGGGGCGGGGATGAAGCAGGTGGGCCCTGGAGGTATCGCTCGCCAATGTTAGGCGATCGGCATCTTGTCCATGCCCCTGCGAACGCCCCAAGCCCACGAGGGCCCGGAGCGGGGGCACGCATTCAAAGCCCAGCCCCTGGAGGCCAGGCTCTCCATCCATAGCCTGCCCCGTGGCGGTTGCGGTTGCAGCAGCAACAGGGGCATCCATCAGGCATCGATCGCCGATGTGCTTCGCTCGCCGGAGAGAGAGAAGGAGAGCAGCGCATCCCGCCACCCGACCCTCCAGTTGGTCTCGGCGTCGCACTGCAGCGCGACGCCGCCCCACACGCAGGCCATCCAGTGGCTGACAATCAGCAACAGGGTCACAAACTTCCCCAGCGACAGCATCGCGAAACTCATGGGGTATATCGTGTGCAACCTGCGGCGGTGCAGGGCCCAAAGCAGGAGAGGCAGCAACAGGCAGTCGGCGGCTGGGTGTGGGATGAGAGGGCGAATGGCGAGGCGACGGCGGATGAGAAGGAGACGGCGGGGGAGGAGAAGGAGGAGGAGGAGGAGGAGGAGGAGGAGGGCGAG